CTGAGATCATGACCTGAGCTGAAGTTGGATGCTTAACTGAGCCACCTAGACATCCCTTAATTAATTAAATCATTCATTAAATTCAATTAATTCTTTAGTATTTCTATTTTTAATTTTTTGAGGAGCCTCTATACCATTTTCTACCATGGCTGCACCTATTTCTATTCCCAACCACAGTGCATGATGGCTCCCATTTCTCCACAATCTCATCAACACTTTTTGTTATTTCTTGTTTTTTTGATGATAACCACTCTGACAGGTGTGAGGTGACATCTCATTGTGGTTATTTGTATTTCCCTGATGAGTGATCTTGAGTATCTTTTCATGTGTGTCTGTTGGCAATTTTATGTCTTTTTTTTTTTTTTTGAAAAATGTCTATTCAGGTCCTCTGCCTAATTTTAATTGGATTATTATTTTTTTAATTGTTGTTGTTATGTAAGTTCTTTATATAAAAAATGGATATTAACCCCTTATACATTAGTTTTTTAAGGTAATTCTGAGAACTTCCTAGGGTTCACCATAGTTTTCTAGTTACAAATTGCAGTTTATCTGCTATTCTAGAATAAACTCATTTTACTGGTGAAAAAAAAAAAGATAATTCTGAACTTCTAGTCTGTGAAGGTAGGAAGTGAAATACCTTTGGCAACTGTTGCAAACAAAGTTTTATATTATGGTCAATATAGTTAATAATTTAAAAAAATGCCAATGACATACAATCCTATGATTAAAATGGCCATGATTGCATTAAATGAAAAATAAAATTATTCTCTACCTTATATGAAACCAATGTTTATTTATTTACTTATTGAAATCATTATTTAATATGGGTTTAGTAAAACACAAGGCTCATCTATCTGGTCATTTAAAATTTGGAATTAAATTTACTGAAAAATGGCACTATGCTCTTAACTTGTACCTCAATTGCATTTTGTTCTGTTTTTAAAGTTCATGACTTATAAATACCTTATATAAACCATAGATTAAATTAAAATGAATAATTGTAGTATAAAAAAAGAAAAAAGATTACTGTTCTGTGGAGAATGCTTTGGAGAGAGGCGGTAGATTTATGGAGATCAGGTAGCATACTAATGACATAATTTAGGAAGAGGACATAAGGGTTTGAATTACGTTGGTGACAGAAATTCGTAAACAGTAAATGAAATACAAAATATAAAAACCAGGAAGTTGCAATCTCCACAAAAATCTTAAGTTAGACTGGATATATCAGTAGGAGCTTATGATTTCCCTCTCCAGTTAAGAACATTAATTTCATAGCTCTATCGAAAGAGCCTACAAATAAGGCCTGGAAACTTTGAACATTTCCAATACCCATAATGTCCTACATTCTGGATTTAGTCAATTCCTTCTTCATGGTGTCATTCAGTTTATCTATTTCTTGTTTTGCCTATAGACTGAAATTAGATCTGAAGACTTGAATTGATTCAGGCTGCTTGTTTTTCCCGAGGATACTGCATAGGTATTGTTTTATATTTCATATTATATCACATCAAGAAGCACATAATTTCTGCTTGCCCCACTTTTAGTGATAATAAGGCTGATCAGAAAATTTAGGTGGTTATGTTCTGATATAAAGTTCCCTATTATCTTTGTATCTCATTGCTTCAGCATTCATTGGTGACTGATACCTGAATCATTTATTTCATCAGGGATTACTAAGTAGTGATTTCCTAGCTTTCTTTTCAAACATTTTTAAGGTACACCTGACATATAATAAACTGCACATGTAAAAAATGTGCAATTTTATAAACTGTGACACATGTAAGCACTCGTGAAGCCATTCCCACAAAGAGCAAACACCTCTATCTCCCCACCCTGCCCTGCCCTTTTGTGTACTTGGAAATTCTCATAAGCAGAATTTTTTTAAAAAGAGGAAGTATTTATGAGGCAGATCAACAAGGCTTGGTGACTGAATGCTTGGGAGTTAATAAGAGAAGGGTCTAGAATGATTCCTAGAATCGTGATATGAACCACTGAGTAGATAGATGGTGGTGCCATTTATGAAGGGACTGGAAAAGAAACTTGGTGAATTCAGTTTTGTACATGTTAGGTTTGAGGTCACAATGGGACATCCAAGGAGACACGTCAAGTAGGCAGGTCTTAAATTAAAAGAAACAGTTTGACCTAGAGATACCCATTTGGGAATATTGGCATATAGTAACTAAAGCCAGGGAGTAGAAATTATCAAGAGATTAAATACAGAACAGGAAACAGATTTAAAGGGGGAAAAGGTTCATGTTTCATGATCAGCTAGTAGAGGAGGAAGGAGGAAAATGATGAGTTTACAGTATTGCAGAAGCCAAGGGAAAACGGGGAGAGAATGTTTCATCTGTGCCAATCCTGAAGTTCTGTTCTGTTGAATAGTTTTACTTCTTGCTCAAAATACATGATTTATACACGTCAGTGGGGGCATACTCTTGTAAGATGTTACCTTTAGTACATTAATAAAATTAAGTTTCTGAGTCTGTAGAGCTGAGGCCTGGACTATGGACTCTTGTAAATCAACCAAAGTAAATGGATACCTCCTAGAGAAGATTCTTGATAGCTAGCTGGCTAGCTTTGTCTGGTGACTTCTAAGCCTCAGGAAATATTTCTTTGAAGCATTTATAGTACTTATTACTTTCTAAACGAAGTAACATTAAAGTAAACTATTTTCCGCGCCCCCTTTTTTTGCATATTCTTAGCTTTTCAAGATCTTAGCATGAAAGGGAATCTGGCTCATTAATAATAGCTTCAACCTCCCCTAAGTGTGGAACTCTTGCTTTAAACTTCCTGATGGGTGATTATCTAACCACTGACGGTATAATATAGTGAATTTGGAGTACTCTGGGTCACTGTGTGATAGTTCTTTTTAGAAATTCTTTTTAAAGAAAAAAATTTTTAAATGTTTTATTTATTTCTGAGAGAGAGACAGACTGAGCAGGGGAGGGTCAGAGAGAGAGGGAGACACAGAATCTGAAGCAAGCTCCAGGCTCTGAGCTAGCTGTCAGCACAGAGCCCGACGTGGGGCTCAAGCCCACAAACCATGAGATCATGACCTGAGCCGAAGTCGGACGCTTAACTGACTGAGCCACCCAGGGGCCCCAGTTCTTTTTAGACATTGTTATATTGAGGATGATAAGATAAAATCTCTCCTCTGGTGTTTGAAACATCATAGAGTTCTTTTTCAAAGCCCTTTGAAAAAAGGATGAGAACAAACAATTCAAAGTTTGAATGCTTTTTACATTTTCGGTTTTTCATGTTTATTGAATGAATGCATGGATTAATTAATACATGGACCATTTAGTTGGTTCTGAAAAGTTTACTATATACTATTAACTTAGTAAGAACTGTTTGAAGAACATGGAATTCCTTAGTGTCAGAATCCTTTATCACTGCCACATTATTATCTTTAGGAATAGATCTGATATCCATAAATTTTCCTTGAATAAAAATTCAACTATGCTACAGGTCTTATCTAAAAGAAAGCTGATAAATCAAGATTTCCCCCCCTCCTTTCCATCTCACTGGGGTAGGGGGTGGGGAAAGGGAGTGAAGTCTGAGAAGCAGTAGAGCATACTGGAAAGAGCCTGTCTATTAGAATTAGACAGTCTTGGTTCAGATCCACTTCTATTTATTATGTGTCTGATCTTGGGCCATTAAGTTACTCTGAGTCTCAGTTTCTTCATTTTAAAAATGAAGATAATGCTTACTTGGCAAAGTTACTGTGAAGATTAAGTAAATTAAGGAGTAGAAAGCATGTAACACAGAAACTGGATGATAGAATGAGCATGATAATGGTAGCCATTACTCTTACATTTGGGCAACATTTCATAAAACATTTAGCAAGAAAAAAAAGAATTTTATGCTAATTTTGTTTTTATTTATTTTTTAAATAAGAAAATGCCAAAGCCAGGAAAGGATTATGATAAGAGTTAGGAAATAAGGCGATTCACAATAGCCATGAGGTTAAAAACAACCCAGATCCCATCAAGAGATAAATGGATAAAAAAATGTGTTTTATACAAACAGTGGAATATTATTCTGCCTTAAATAAGAAGGAAACTTCGACACATGCTACAACATGGATAGACGAACCTTGAGGACATTTTGCTACATGTAACAAGCCAGTCACAAAAAGATAAATACTGTATGATTCCATTTATAGGAAATCTAAAGTAGTCAAATTCGTAGACATAGAAAGAAGTATCGTGGGCTGCTAGGGAGGGAAAAAGGGGAAACGAGAGGCTGTTTAATGAGTATAGGGTTTCAGGTTTGAAGATGAGAAAGTCTGGAGATTTGCTGTACAACTCTGTGAATATAGTCACTACTGAACTGTACATTTAAAAATGGGTAAGACAGTAAATTTTGTTATGTGTTTTTTACCAACAATAATGATAATAATAATAAAGGAAGTGGTAGGGAGAAAAAAAGTGAAGAAGTGAAGGTCTGGAAGTTTGGAGAAAAGGCAAGGGTTTTAGTGACATTAAGAAATGAGCTAGAATAGATTCCATGATACTTTTTTTTTTTTTAAATTTTTTTAATGTTTTATTTATTTCTAGGAGAGAGAGAGAGAGAGACAGCGTGAGCAGGGGGAGGGTCAGAGAGAGAGGGAGTCACAGACTGAAACAGGCTCCAGGCTCTGAGCTGGCAGTCAGCACAGAGCCCGACGCGGGGCTCGAACCCACGAACCGCGAGATCATGACCTGAGCGAAAGTCGGACGCTTAACCGACTAAGCCACCCAGGCGCCCCTCCATGATACTTTTAAAAACAAAACAAAACAACAAAAACCAAACAACCCATCTCTAGTTTTTCAGACATTAATAAAATAAACATTTATATCACTATCTCATCTGTGCCCAAATTCATCAAATAAACATTTACTACTTAAGTTCAAGGCACAGTGCTAAATTACTGAGGACCGAAAAAGCGTAAGAAACAATTCTGTCCTTCAAGGAAATGGACAAGTATAAACAATTATTATAAAACACTGCAAGCACAATTAAAGAGAGATAAAGTACGGAGAATTTAATGCAGAATATTATGGTAGAACAGATACGACTTTCTGATAGGAGTGGCATCTGAATTAGAAATCCGCAGGTCTTCCAAGAAGCTTTCATATCACAATCTAACAGGAAGTTAAGGAATGGGTGAAACAGGTAACAGAGATTAGAGGTGCAATGTTCTAGTTATACAATAAAATAAGTAAGTCATGGGGATGTAATGAAGGAATACAGTGAACAATATTGTAATAACTGTATGCTGACAGAGGGTAACTAGATCTACTGCGATGGTCATTCCACCATGTGTCAGAGTAGCAGCTCCCTATGTTGTACATCTGAAACTAACACATTCTAGTACATCAAATATAATTCAATAAAAACAAAACATTCTGAGATTTATTAATAGATATTATGGATAAGAAATGATCATAGGAACTCTCTTTTTTTTTTTTAAAAGGAATTATATCTAGTAATGAAAGGAAGGAAAGAGGGAAGAATATTAAGGATTTGGAGGGAGGAAGACTTCCTCAATTTCTTCATCTCTGCAGTTTCTATTTGTTTAATGAGCTCCTAATTGTCCTGCTTCTGTGCCCTTGTTCACATCATTACTTTAACTTGGACAATCCATCAGTATTCCTTTATATTAAAGTATCATATAATGATGCATTGACTAAAATTATAAAATGGTTTTAGATTAATAATTAGAATTGAACATAAAAGAAGACATTTTCTTCTATCATTTTAGAAGGAAACAAATTATGTCTACAAATTAATATAGTTTTAATGAATCCTATAAGTACTCTGGATTTTAAATGGATGACTAAGAAAGGTCATATTCACAAACTTGTTGCAGAACGTGGTACGTGGTATGTTAGAAGATGTTTAGCTAAATGAAAGAGGGGAGATGAGATTAGGGTCTTCAGGCCAATGATAGATTTCTAAGTATATCTTATCAAAGGCTTTTTCTCTTCTTTTACTCAACTCACGGTATGTACTATTATGATTTTCAAAAAACACATTTAACAGATAGTATTCGTGTTTCATATCTACAAGAATCATCATCGATATCACTTGCTCTTCACTAGGAAATAGGGAGGGACTCTGCTACCCCAGGACAAGAGACATTTCTGCTGAACAGAACTGGGGGTGTTGGTAGGGGGGTGGTGCTACTGTCATCTAGTGGTGGAGGCCAGAGATGCTAGCATCCCACACTGCAGAGAAACGCCCCCACCAACTCCACCCGGAACAAGAATCGTCCAGCCACTATGTTCAACACTGACTGAGAAAACCTGCTGTATAAAAATGTATTTTTCTTTTCTTTCTCTATTTCCCTCCTGTCCCCTCTTCTTTAAGTTTTATCTCTTGAATGAGAAACGGAACATATTTTATATCAAGAAAAAGAGAAAATGCTATTCATTTTTTTAATCACTGACTAGAAATTTGGTCCATACTGCATCTGAATCAGCACTGTTTAGACCAATGTACCAAGAGACTTTCCACCAAATTTTTGCTCGACCAAGGGAAAAACAGATTTTCTACTAGGCTTTATTGATTAATGACCATATAAAATATCAGGAAAAACAGAGCCCAAAGAAATAATCAGCAATTCATATTCACCTACAATGATATCCGACCGCTATCATTGGGGATTTGGAGTGTCTGCTAGTAGATTTCACAAATGATTCTTAATTTTTAAAAATGTGAGGTGTCTTGGTATTTGTTTTATGACATTTAAACCTAATATTTACATAGTTAGAAAATATACTCACCAATATAACAATATTTAGCCAAATATTTATAAGCCATGTACTTTAAAAATCCATTGAGAATTATGAAAGCTCCAAAATGTAAATCATAAGAGTATATGATATTTATTTTGTAACACAATAGATAAAACCAAATACCAAGCAGACTATTGTTTGTACTTTATACATTTTGATTCTTAGGCTGGAATCTGTTAATTTAAGATTCAGTTAAAATAAGCTTTAGTTATTTAAAAAAAATGCCAAGTACATGATTAAGATAAACTTTTTGTTCAGCAGAGAAAGAACTTCAGGAGTAAATAATGATATACCAAATCCATCCAAAACACTAGGTCTTCATCTTTAGTTTCTTAGACCACTCAGGTGCTTCTTTTTTGGTCTGTTAAAAAAAAAAAAAAAGGAAAAAGAAAAAAACTGAAAATCAAGGAAAATGCTTATAAGGAAAATAAGAGAGGCAATTCAGAGAACTAAGTACCTATATATATTGGGGCTTTGTATGTAAAATTGCAATAAATAATTTCTTAATTCAGAAGGATACGTAAGGGCAGAAGTTCAGAAATAATTTCTCACCTGGTATGTCTGTAGAAATAGCATACATCTATGTTTTCTGGCTAAAAGCCTGTATATTAACATATTGTACATAGGTAAGTATTTATAAATTGATTTTATTTTCAAAGAGAATTACAAAAAAATCAAGGACGTAGTTCTTTTCATTTGCTTATGCATCTATATATGGATATTTATCCACTCAATAGCTTTTTACTGAAGGCTTACTAGATCCAAATCACTGTACTTTGAGCTTCTGAATTGCTAAGTGTTTGCCAGAGTACTTCTTAAGCTTTACTGCTCAATTGTTTCCATCTAAAAAGAGTCTGGCTCTACTGAGTAGTAACAAAAAGGCAGAGGGGGAGGTTGACGGTTACAGAATAAAGCACTCAGAACTCTTTGTATATAAGGCACTGATTCCAATCAAAACATCCTATTTTATACCATATTATAATGAGTATACAGTGTACTTCCTTCCCACTAAGATCTGCTTCAAAGTAAGAAGGACCATATTCCTAAATATATGTATATATATGTATATATATGTGAAGGCACACAGATAAGTATGATAGCTTATAACTTTATCTTTTCAATATTGTTTTATATTCCATAGTGGGTGTACACAATGTTGGAAGTGACATTAATGAACAACTCCTCTTCACCTTATCCATGCCCCTGGCCAGGTTCAATTACCACCAAGTAAGTCGGTGGACCCTCCTCCACCCCCATTTTACACTTTGGCTCTAAGGAGCTATAGATACTCTCACAGGATGGTTCGTACTGGTGACTAAAATTCAGTATGTCAAAATGAACTCCCTCATTCTTCCATCGTCTCCGTCTTGGTGAACAGTAGTCTACTTTGCTCAGTCACTGGAACCAGAAATATCTGATTCCTCTTCATCCTAGGTTTCTCCTTCTTTCACTTACTAGATCCATTATAAATAAACTAAAACTTAACTTTTATTGAACATCTTTTTAACTTATTCTGTTCCTATCTTGACCTCACTGGGTCATCATTGTTTCAAGCTTAATTCCCATATGTCTTCCTAATTCTGATTTGGCTCACTTTCTGTTCAATTAATTGCCCAAAATCCTTCTAACCTTACCTTTCTAAAATGCAAACCTGTATTAAAACACTTCAGTATTTCCTTCTTTAAAACAAAGGTCAAAGTCCTTAGTATTTGAGGTGAAAGAGGGGTTCCTGGCTGGCTCCGTCGGTAGAGCATGTGACTCTTTTTTTTTAAATATTTTTATTTATTTTTAGGAGAGAGAGAGAGAGACAGCGTGAGTAGGGGAGGGTCAGAGAGAGAGGGAGTGACAGACTCTGAAACAGTCAGCACAGAGCCTGATGCGGGGCTCAAACCCACGAACCGCGAGATCATGACCTAAGCGAAAGTCAGACGCTCAACCGACTAAGCCACCCAGGCGCTCCATGTGACATTTGATCTCAAGTTCTTGAGTGTAAGCCCCATGTTGGGTGTGGAGCCTACTTTAAAAAAAAAAAGAAGAAGAAGGAAGAAGGAGGAGAAGGAGGAGAAGGAGGAGAAGGAGGAGAAGGAGGAGAAGGAGGAGGAGGAGGAGGAGAAGAAGAAGGAGGGGCCCCTCGGTGTCTCAGTTGGTAAAGCATCTGATGTTGGCTCATGTCATGATCTCCAGTTCTTGAGTTCGAGCCTGCATTGGGCTCTCTGCTCTCAGCAAAGAGCCTACTTTGTATTCTCTGTCTTTTTCTCTACCCCTCTCCAGCTCTCTTGCATTCTCTCGTTCTCTCTCTCTCAAAAATAAATAAAAATCAAAAGAAAAAAAGAATAAAATGCACAATATTAAAAACAAAAGGCAAAAAAAGTTTTCATGGCAAAATCAGGAAATCCTAGGGGATGCCAGGTGCTATCTGCTAAGAGAATTAAAAAAAAAAGTGGCAGAGGCTGGGGTGCCTGGCTAGTTCAGTGAGTAGAGCTTGTGGCTCTTGAAAAAAAAAAAAGATCTTAAAAGAAAAAAAAAGTGGCAGAGGCTAACTAAATCCAAAAGAATCAGAATGCTAGTTTATTAATTGGTAATATGAAATATAATTGTTGGGGCACCTGGGTGGCTCAGTTGGTTAAGTGTTTGACTTAGGCTCAGGTCACGATCTCACAGTTTGTGAGCTCAAGTCCCACCTTGGGTGAGCTCGAACCCTATTTCGGGTGAGCCCTGTTTCTCTGTCTCTCTTCCTTTCTCTCTCTGCTCTTCCTGGGATTCTTTCTCTGCCCTTGCTCACTTGCACCCTCTCACACTCTCAATAAATAAATAAATAAATAAAAATTAAAAAACAAAAAAAAATTCAAAATCTCATTTAGCTTTAAATGATGTACAGCAGAAATTCAGATATGCAAAAATAAAATAATTTAAAAAACCCCTATAGGCTAGAATAGAAAACGTCAGAGTATCTGCCATAGTTGGGGCCAATTCTGTTTTGACAAAGTGTGTGACTGTCAATAGGCCACAATGTGAACTGGTTTTTTTAACTGTGGCTCCCTGAGAGAAAAATCTCTAAGCGGCTTTTGTAGACTAAGCTATAGATAGCTTATATATAGCAAAGGGTAGAGAATTTGTACTCTTGTGTTTTTTCAATCCATTGATAGAAAAAATATTACTACTATGTGTGTATGAGAAGAAAGTAAATAAAACTTTTGATATTGAAAAGGAATCTTAAGACCCAAAAAGGACAATACAAGATTTTCAGTGGCAGGCAGTTTTTCGTGAATCCTTTTATGGGTCTTCCATCCCCTCCCCATGGATACTTTCTTTTTAACAGATGTGTTAATGAAGTAGATTTGCCACAATAAAATGTACCTCTTTCCAGGGATTAATGGCTTTTCTTCTTCATAAATTGACTTTTGAAGATATTTGATCTCTCATAGGTTCCATTACATGAATCTTTTTTATATGTATATATGTTTAATTTTTACGTGCTGGTTTAGGTTAATTATATTTCAATTTTATAAACAAACAGTACAAATTAGTGAAAACTTTGGGTTATGAGTGAAGTGTTAACAAACGCTAAAGTAAACTTTACTCCATCTAGGGAAGAGCTCAGAGGGCTTTGGTACCTGCAAATGACAGGATTAACTGGAAACCTATCAGGAGTAATCCATCAGCACATTGTGATTCTGGAGAGAAATAACTGCTAAGATAGGTACCTATTGTCATGGAGAAGCAGTTAACCAAAACATTAGCATATTATTCTGGGGGCTCAGTCTATTAAGCGGATTGAATGTCTGTCTTGATTTCAGCTCAGGTCACAGCTCAAAGTTCATGAGTTCAAGTCCTGCATCTGTGCTCTGCGCACAGTGTGGAGCCTGCTTGGGATTCTCCCTCTCTGCCCTTCCCCTGCTCATGCGCTCTCTTTCAAAAAAATTAGTATATTACCTGGGAATTACAACATATTGAGAAAGTATGTTAAGGTAAGAAAGAATGATGATAATGCAGGTAGATCATTCCTGGAATCTCAAAAAAGAGCTAGAAACCAAGAATCTATTAGTACTCAACCAGTGCTACTTTTCTAAAGAAAAAAAAGATGATGTCTATTACATATAATTACTTTGTCTTCCAAAAAAGACAGAAGCTGGGAGTCACAGAAATAAATATTTAAAGGTTCTTCACAGTCAGGGCCCAACTGAAGTGAGTCTAGGGCAGCTGACCTGGTTTTCTTACCAACTAAAGGAGGGACCACCCAGATCTTTCAGCCTCCACTGCTCTCCTTCCGTGTTCACAAGGAAATTCCTTATTTCAAAATTACCTTACCAGGTAGAGTACAACAGGAAGAAGCTGCACTTAGAATTCCTGATGCTAGAAATCGAAAAGTTACTTTTTTATTTTTTTGATTACACAGGCTCCATGCCCAATGTGGGGTCTGAACTCACGACCCTGACTCACACTCTACTGACTGAGCCAACCAGATGACTCCAAAAGTTATATTTTCTGAAATGCAGATGTACATAGCTAGGTATCTTGAGGTCTCAGCACACTCTTGTGAGATAAATTCAGATTCTTCATAGAAAAAAGTGAGCCTAGAGCTTCTACACAAATGTCACAAGAAAGTGTTACAGGTATGGTGAGCTACCGATGCCCTCAGCCTCCAGACATGGCTGGAGCCCCTTCAGTCTAGCAGTGAGGTTCACGTAACCTGGTGAGCCATACAAATCTGTGCTTATGACGTGAACAACTCTGGGAGACACAGAGTCAAGACATGACCCTGAAGTGGTGCTACCCTGGCACGGTGTCCTGTGCCACTTGTCTTAATACATCTAGTTGCGTTCATTATATTACCATTTTATAAATAACTGCTAAACTCATTTTTGATGATGAGAAAAATTATTTTTGTAATCTATCTACTTAGAATGTAATTGTGGTAAAGTCATTTTTAAGGGTAAAGGTCAGTAGTATTACATATATTCATGTTGTTGTGCGACTGTCATCACCATCCATTCACCTGGTGTAACAAACTCTGTCCCCATTAAACAGTAACTCCTCACCCCCATCCCCCCAGTCCCTGACGGCTACTGTCCTAGTTCTGTCTCTATGACTCTGACTACTCTAGGTACATCCTCTCTACTTTTGTTTCTCTTTTGTCCTAAAGAAAGTGTTAATGGGTCATGAAGTGACTGAAGTCAGGGACAAGAATATAGTAAGAAGGGAATAAAGTCTAAGTATAAAAAAAAATACATATTATACATCTTATTATTAAATAATGGAAAGGAGCACAAATTAGAAAATACTTTGTCAATACTGTACTTTTTCTGCCTTTGGAATTTCTCACTCTCTAATCCTCATTGTCACCTGTCAAAATCTTAGGCATTCTCCAAGGCCAACCTCAAATTCTTTCTGCAGAACCAATTACCATCACAGTATCTTCTTTTTTTTTTTTTTTAATTTCCACAGAACTTAGTATTTTCTTTACTTTAAAGTAGTCTGCCTGATTTCGTCTATATCAAAATGATCAAATATTCTATAATGTTAAGCATGGATTCTTGCAAATAGTCAGGACAAACCTGTTGAACTGAGTTGTACTTATTGGAACATTTTTGTTTCTAGATGAGCACATGTAGCCTTCTAAATGACTTCTACAGAGAGAGTCATGTGTTCATATAACCATTTATGTATAAATTTCATATAACCATTTATGTATAAATTACATAAACTGAATTTTCTGTTCAGCAGATGATAGCCATTGAGATAACCAATCTAAGATCTGAACCCTACCACAAACTCGTAATTCAGAAACTTCATACACTATATACTGGTGCTACCTATTTTTTTTTTTAAGTTATTTATTTATTTTGAGATAGAGAAAGAGAGAGAGTGAGTGGGGGAGGGACAGAGAGAAGGAGAGAGAATCCCAAGCAGGCTCCAAACTACCAGTGCAGACAAAGCCTGAGGTGGGACTCAAACTCATGAACTGTGGGATCATATACTGAGCCAAAGTTGGGCACGTAACTGACTGAGTCACCCAGGTGCCCCCTGTGCTACCCATTTTTATTATGTTTCCCTGCCCTCCCTAGAGCCTAAAGCTCTATTTTTGTGCTTACAATCTGCTTGGAGAAAAGACAAAGAGCAGGATTGTTAATATCTGCATTTTTATTGAGAAAATAGTGACAATGATATGAATCCTGAGTAAAAATACTGGTTTGGAAAAGGATGGTAGTGGAAAAGTAGCAAAGGGTAGTCCCATGCTGCTCTGGAGGGAAAAAGGAAAGTTGCTTCAAAGAGGATTTGAATAGCTCCAGGTTTTTTTTTTCCTAGAAAGGAGATAGGTAAGGCTAGAGAAAAGAGTTAGCCCAGCTAAAAGCTACCTTGAGAGAGAAAGTAGATGATTAGTGGGAATGATCGGAGATCGGAGTGTTTGTGAATGAAAGGGACTGAAATGGTGCTGCCTGTTGCAGAAGTGGCACTAACCACAGTCCTGGGGACTAACTTCAGCCTTGGGAGTGGCTGCTTTCACTCTCCCTGTCCTTTTAGTTTAACACTGAAGTTTCCCATCCAGTAGAGTTTTAACAGCTAAGAAGATAAGTAAATCAGGAAGGCACAAAACCTTTTCTTTTTAAGTCCTCAATGAGCAAATAATTGAGAGTATCAGCTTTGTTCATGAGCTGTGCAAGCCAATGGAAACACAGCTCCTATCCTTAAAGCACTTACATTCTGTGGTTCAATCTAGTCTTTCAGTGCATTAAATGCCTGAAAACCAACTCTGTCATATCTGTGATTTTGATGGCCAGAACATGTCCATAAAATGCACCTTTTGGGGCTCTTTTATGTGAGCACTGTAAAACATTCATTTGAATATAACAGCATATAAAGAAAAGTGGCTCAGCTCTTATCGTTCCTTCTCTTCTATATGGCAGCTGTACCTCTATCCCATTGCTCAGGTGAAAGTAGTTTTGTATGTTTTCCTCATATGAAGGTATGCATATATGAACATCCATCCATCCATCTATCCAGCATTAAATTTAGTATCAGGGAAAAATGCCAATAGCAAACAATTTCAGCCAAAGGATCTGGAAGCAAATTAGAAATGTTTCCATCTTTGGGGGCGCCTGGGTGGCTCAGTCAGTTCTAAGCGTCCAGCTTCGGCTCAGGTCATGCTCTCATGGTTCATGCATTCGAGCCACACATTGGGCTCTTGCTGACAGCTCAGAGCCTGGAGCCTGCTTCGGATTCGATGTCTCCCTCTCTCTCTGCCCCTCCCCTGCTCACACTCCCTATCAAAAATAAATAAACATAAAAAAAAAAAGAGGGAAATGTTTCCACTTTTATGGGGCACGTGCGTGGCTCAGTCAATTAAGCATCTGACTCTTGATTTTGGCTCAGGTCATGATCTTACAGTATTTGAGACAGCCCCGCGTCAGTTCCACACAGAGCCTATCTAGCATTTCCTCTCTGCCCCTCCCCTGTGTGCGTGTGCATGCTCTCTATCAAATTAAATAAGTAAACATTAAAACAAAAGAAATATTTCCATTTTTTCTATAAAACTGTAAGATTATGAAATAATTAGAACTTATTTTCAAATATTTGCACCATAAATTCCTTATTAACAATATCAGAGAAGATATAAGAAAAATATTACTATGGAAAATTGAAAATATTCAAATAGCAACTATAGAAATTATAAAGCCTGAAGAGAATCACAGCATGTTAATATAAACATGGTACCTGAGTGGCTTAGTCGGTTCAGGGTCTGACTCCTGGTTTCAGCTCATGTCAGGATCTCATGGTTTATGAGTTTGAGCCCCACGTCAGGCTCCACACCTAGTGTGGAAAATTTTCTGTCTCTCTCTGCCCCTCTCCCTGGCTAGCAGTCTCTCTCTCTCAAAATAAATAAATAAACATTAAAAAAAAGTCTCATATGATATGATCTCCTCCCTAATTTTATAGGTAAGAACCAGCTCGGAGTATTTAAATGACTTGCTCCAGGTTACCCAGTTAATTCACATTAACAATTTTGCATTAGCACAAGGTCTTGATGCAATTGGTTTACAGTATCAGGTCTCAGTTTTCATTAGGGCATAGCTAAGGTCATACCTCTTCTTTTTTTTTAATCTCATGGACTTGCGATCAAGAGTTGCACGCTCTGTGGAATAAGCCAGTCGGGTGCTCCCGAGCTATACTTCTGAAAAATTTCCCCTTAGTATAAAAGCAATTAAATTTATCATAACCCCCTAGAAGACACAGATAAGCAAAAAGAAGGAAATAAAACCACCCAATTAATGCTTAATATTTTGAATCTTATTTTTATTCTCACGGCATAACCTTATTTTGAGATACTGGAGAAATTTTACTGTTAATTATACACTGGGTATAGTCAAGATATCAGAATCAGTTATAAGCCAAAGTTAGGAATATAGGAGTTCCAAGTTAGAAGCAATAGTTCATTGCTTGCAACAGAGAAGGGTCAGAAAAGCAGATCAGAGGGTGTGATAGGCTTTAAGTATTTGGTAGTATCTTGTAGTTTTCACAGAACCTTACTTTTCCCATCAATATCTATGTAATCAGTTCTCTTCTTATAAATTATAATAGACATATCATATTGTCTGCCATAATCTTGGCCCACTTTCTGAGCCACGGTCCTTTGGAATAAATAGCTGCAGGCAGGTTTATTTGGTACCATGTGATCCCTGCTCACTGGTAAGAGTGGCCATTCAGTAGGCTGACTAATAACCTTAACAGGTCTCGCCATAAAGGGGTATTACCCAACAAAAATAAGCTGCACCATTCAGATTCTTGTTTTTGGAACTTACAGAGAGAACTAGGTTATAACAGAGTAGATGTGAAAAGGAAACATGTCTCAAGACAAGGGGCCAAGTGCAAGTTGATGAGGAAGTGGAAACTATGAGTAGGCAGAAATTGGGAGAGAAACAAAGAGAAGCTGGGGTGCTACTGGAGGAAAAGATCCCAGGACACAGCTGCGGAAATCCGGAAATCCATATAGCTGCCTTGTTTCCTGGCTGGTCAATCTAGGCTTCCTGTTTTCTCTCTCCTGTCAGCGCAGCCTCCATTACTGCCCCATGAATCCTTAACAGTAATTATCCCTTATTTTATCTAACTTGTAACTCTGTCATTTTTTAAAAAGGGATGTTGCACGAAGTAATCACCAATCTCTCATATCTCATTGATATTGAGCATTATCTGAGTGTATAATGAAGTCGCTTAGATCAGAAACTCCTGTACTTGATCAATTCTTACAGTCATCTAGGGAGTTTTAAAAAACAAAATTCTGGGGACTCACTAAATCAGAATATCACACAGAAAATCTGTCTGGCTGTTAGTTTCTGTTCCGATGGTAAAAATCACATTTCTTCTGAGAAATGAGGATGGGAAATGATGGCTGAAGTGTAATATTTAATAATGTTAATCCTGTTTTGATTCTGTTGCCTTTTAATTCTTATTCATTAAAACACCATTTTTAGTATTTTCTATATTACTAATCCAAAGTTTTCTGATTTTTTGTTCTTTGAGTGATTTCTGTGCCTGTACATTTCTACCTAATAATGCATTCCAGTTTATGTTAATATGATTGTTTTTTTATACTTTACGAAGAACCTCTTAGAGCAAAATATACTAATTTACAAATAAGAGGGGGCAGGTGATATTCTGCATCCCTTTTTATTCTTAATTAAAAATTTATATAAACTGTCTTTCTTGATTCCCCTGAAAGTTGTGAAGACTAAAGGAGGTAAAATGCTATATTAATGCTAATTTCTGGGCAAGTCCAATATATTACCTAAAAATCTAAAACCCCACTATCAGCTGTATGGTAGGTAACACATACATTTAGAAAAGGGATTAATATAGATCTCTCGAGGCCTTCTAATAAAACTATTAAAATTAGTTTAAAACCAATATGAATAAGAGGCAAGATACTTAAGTAAACTATATTTATGAAAATCAGAGATATTAAAATTCTAAGTTAATTTTGATTGTACTTACAAAGAGTGTTGGTTTGGGTATAAATATATTGTCTTCATGTTCTCTGGGCACATTTAAAGTCTTTGATTTATGACCTTCTGTCATATTTTTTGCTTCTGTTTTAGTAAGAAGTAACTGGTCCTCAGAACGTTTACTTCGCATATTAGTGACGATCTGTTTCATTGCTGCCAATTCCTGTTGATACGAAGACAGAAGATAATGGCAAGTACGATTTTAGCAAGCAGAGTAATTATGATTGATGTTATAATCAATGTACAATGATGAACATAATGATCACTTAGTATCAATATTTTTAGTACAGTAAGTGACAAATAGATCATTCCATACTCTAGTGGGGCCTTGATTTTTCTGTGTATTGGCATCACCTGTGGCACTTCAAAAACTACTGATTCCTGTGCCCCACCACCCAGAGATTGTGTGTAACTGGGCTGGGGTATGGCCTCAGCTTTGGAATTTTCTAAAGATCCTCAAGTGATTTTAACAGACAAATTTGGGAACCACTGATATTGCCATGTTCCACTGTAGTTTTTCTGTACCTGTTGATTTAGGTACTTAAGTTTTTCTCTTCTGCTCTTCAATTATCCCATTTCCTTTTGATGGCTTATATGAAGAAGGTAAGGGAAAAAGAATCCAAACTTTTTTTTCTTGCCTGCTTACTAATCAGCAGTTCAAACCTTAAGTTCAATACAATTTCAGGACTTTTAAAACCATGTCATTCCCTATTTTTTTTTACAAATGAAAACTGGAGTTGGCTTTGGCAGTTGCTGTTTGAAGTATGAATTAAATATGCTGAGCTTCTTAAATAAGAGCGCAGATCACAATTTTCAGTCATTTCCTCTTCCAAGGCTATTTTGTCTTTTATTTCTCCCCACACTCAAACCTTCAGCATGTAATACTAATTAGTGGATATTTATGATTAATTACTAAATTCATTCAATGTAACACAAGCATATGGAGGACAGACTAAACTCTCCTTTACCTTATTATCTGTAGAATAGTGGTAGGCTGTGCTGTAAATAATTTTTTCCTATGATTTTATTTCCTTTTCATGCCAAGACATAAAAGTTATGGAGATAGATGTTCTGCTCTCTTCTACTAATCTGTTTATAGACATCAGCTCTGTGTCGGAGCAAGTTCCTACAGGCCTTTTTCTCCCCACCCCCCCGGCTGTCATTAGTTCTATTTAGAACCATCTAGCTTGAGTGAGTATTTTAAAACATAGCTGTTGAGTTCAAGCCACCGAGCCTTAATAAATCTTAGGGCCAACAGAGGAGCTGGAAGAAATGGTGCCAGAATCCTTTTTCTCCTTTCTGCAGTACTGGGGTTGGCTTGGCCAATGCACATGAAATGTGTATACCTTCACACGCTGCCAATCAGATAGAACATTATTTTAGTCTTTTGAGGGCTCTTTTTGCTTTCAAGATTATTTCATTTATATGTTCCCTAGAGTGAAGTACATAATCACCGATTTGATGTTAACCATGCCTGGTATGATGGTAGATTTTAGCTCCTGTTCTACTTTCCATGGTAAGTAGAAGGCAAAGGAGAGATGATGGTCTCTCGGCCTATCAAAAGAAAACTTTCTATCCGAAAGAATCTATATTTACTTGCCATAACTTTTGTATCATGGCATGAAGATAAAATAATAGGAAAAAATAACCTCTAACACAACTTACTACAAATCTCCAGATTAATAGAGTAAAGAGGACCATGTGTGCCGGGGAAGGGATGGGTAGGGCAATGAGGACGTGGAGGGAGAAGAGGAAGGAGCTGCAGGTACACGAGGCAGAGGGCTTCGGCTCCGAGGTGCCCCAGGGGAGCCATAATTTTGTGTCCCTTGGGCTTCCTTCTGCTGCTGGTGTAGGAGCAGTTACAGGAAGCAGCTCATTCCTGATGCTGGTCAAGAGACAGAAGGGAAATCATATGTCTTTCTGTATCCTCACAAGGACCACTTCAATTTCTGCTGCTGTCATAGTCCATTTTCGTTCATCTGCTTGCATTAAACAATGTTAGCATGGTTTCTGAAATCCAGATAAAGAACACTTTACAAGCAACACAGTTCTGTAGAATTCCTATTAAAATAATGTAGCTACGATGGATACCAAAAGAACGTGCAGAAAAATTTTGTTCAGTTTTATTATCTTTGGTCATATAAACGATCCACCCTTTTATTTATTTATTTATTATTATTTTTTTAAAATGTTTTATTTATTTCTAGGAGAGAGAGAGACAGCATGAGCAGGGGAGGGTCAGAGAGAGAGGGAGTCACAGACTGAAACAGGCTCCAGGCTCTGAGCTGGCAGTCAGCACAGAGCCTGATGCGGGGCTCGAACCCACGAACCGCGAGATCATGACCCAAGCGAAAGTCGGACGCCCAACCGACTAAGCCACCCAGGCGCCCCGATTTATTTATTTTTTTTAATATTTATTTCTAGGAGAGAGAGAGAGAGACAGCGTGAGCAGGGGAGGGTCAGAGAGAGAGGGAGTCACAGACTGAAACAGGCTCCAGGCTCTGAGCTGGCAGTCAGCACAGAGCCCGACGCGGGGCTCGAACCCACGAACCGCGAGATCATGACCCGAGCGAAAGTCGGACGCTTAACCGACTAAGCCATCCAGGTGCCCCTACGATCCACCCTTTTATATCAGTGGTAAATCTGGGGAAAGAAAATTCCACTTTAACATCAAATACGATCTACAATACCGTCATCAGCTGAACACACAGAAAGCCAAGCATATGTACTGGAAATATTTTAGCGTTAGGTTAGAAGTCAAAGACACATCTATTCCTGACTCTCTTATTAACTATGTAAACTTAGGCAATCTATTCTGGTTCAATGAGCTTCAGTTTCCTAATTGATAAAATGTATGCTTGTGTTACTTTTTTTGGATATTTGCCAGTCGGATAAGTGAGTATGTTTATTTAGCATTTCTTCTCTTGTGAGGTTAAGTGGCTTCTCATATATTTAAGGGTATTTCCTCTTCTGTTGATATCCTTGGTCCATTTCTCTCCTGGATGCTTAGTCATTTTCTACTACATTTCAAGGAGCTCTTTATATGTTAGAGCCCTTTGTAATATGAGTGGCAGTTTTTCTTCCCCCTTGTTTATGTTTTATTTGACTATGTTTACACTTTTTACATTTTTTTTCGCTATGCAGAACTTTCTGATTCTGATGTAGCTGAATATACTCTTACTGTACAGCCTTCTCCATGTTTCTTCTTCCATTTTCCTCAAGTTATTTTTTATGGTTTGTCTTTTCCTTTTCAAACATTTAGACCTCTGATCTGTTTGAAGTTTATCCTGGCTTATGGCGAAGGGTATGGATTCAACATCTTCCTCCATAGCTTAACAGTATGTATTCACCCACTGCAGATGCTTATCTTTATCATAACTAAGTTTTCTTAAGTATATGATTTATTTCTGGACTTTTAAACTCTATACTAACAGTCTGTCAGTTCATGCACTCATGTCACACTGTTATAATGTTTAATGATTCAAGTATTTTTTTGGCTATATTCGTAGAAATAGGGGTGAAATTATGTTAAATTAAAAGAAAATAATAGAAAGAACTGAGTTATATAATACTGAGTCTTCCTAATCATAACAATATTGTAATATATATTTCACCTACATTTTTGGCATAAATTATCATGCCTTAATTGGTTGTTACTATTACAAATAAATGGTTATAATTGTGAGATCCCAATTCTTACACTGACAAAAGGAAAATAAACCAACAAAACTTACATGAGCTAGAAAACTTACTCGTCACTACAAAATAGAATCCTTTGGTAAGATGAAGTCATCTTGAAATCTTCTGGAACGTTCCTGATCTGGTTTGGTTCTTACCATGTTCTTGTCTGGTTCCCGATTGCTGGCTCCATCTCCTATTTAAGACTCTGCTCTTATTGTTTGGACTTGACTTTTGCATTTCATTTCCGTAGCTTTTAATTCTGCTTTTCTCTGTTCTACAACTCTCCTTTTCTGACTGGTCAGTAGGGTTATTTGTACTACTATTCAAGGATTTACAAATACGGTTCACTGTAGAGCAGAGAGTATGATTAGATCCACAGGAAAGGAAACTCTGATGCTCAGAGGAGAATGTTTCAAGTATCATGTTTGATTGAATTATTTTTCTTATACTGCATTTATTGTACAAAATCATGTCATTTACTTGGGTTCCTATTTGGACTCTGACGTTTTTACAGAGATTTCCCTCTCTTTTCTTAGAGATCCTGTCTTTTATTTTTTTTCTCATTGATGGAAATAATAATTGCCTTTTTTCACCTTACCTAAGATTATCTAGTTTCTCAATAATGCTATTTATTAACTGGGCTCAATTTTGTACTCACTGCTTTTAAGACAGTTGTTATTCTGAAATTTCTTTTTATTACTTTATTTCTTTATTATTTATCTTGGCCAATTCCATTATTTTCTTGCACGTCTCTCTCTATGTTATTTGATGGCACACAACCTGGTAATTTTCTGAGAACGTATTGTGGAAGAAGGTATTGTGCTTTCCTTCAGCACTTCTTTGATGCTATTACTTCTTTGTTTCCTAAAGTCAAATTTCTGGGGCACCTGGGTGGCTCAGTTGGTTAAGTGTCCGACTTCAGCTCAGGTCATAAATCTCATGGTTTGTGGGTTCGGGCCCCACGTTGGACTCTGTGCTGACAGCTCAGAGCCTGGAGCCTGCGTCAGATTCTGTGTCTCCCTCTCTCTGCCCCTCTCCTACTTGTTCTCTCTCTGTCTCAAAAATAATAAACATTAAAAAAATAAAATAAAAAATAAAGCCAAGTTTCTGAGAACTATGATGCCAAGCTGATTTCTATGTCTTTGTAGGTATTCTCTTTCCCTCTGGAATATTCTATATTGTTTAGCTTTTCTGTTAGTTTCCATCTTTTTTCCTTTTTCTAAATTTTAGGAGAGTTCGATGACTTTTCTCACATCCTTCCTGACAGTTTACTTAATTATTATAATTTCATGACTTTTAATTTAGCAATTTTGAAAGTATCACTGGTTTTTTGTTCATTGTTTCTTATTTTATGGAAATACTACTTTTTCAAATCTTTCTGAAAAAACTAATTACAATATTTTGTAAGTTCTTTTCTGTTATGGAATTTTGTTTTTGTTTTCTTTGAAGAATGGGGTCAGTTTCTCTGTTTATTGTGATTTT